AAGCTGATAGAAAGAAATTATCGTTCAGGAACATGCAATAATGACACAATGCGGATCAGGGGCGCGCTGTTCACAGAAAAAAGGCCCGGCTTACACATACAAATCTGTCATATGTAAAATATATAACCACTAAATAAAAAACAAACAAAAGATGACATCATGTATCATACCTCTATTTAACTATTAAGCCAATGCTTAATATTAAACGGGGTTTTATGTATACTGTGATATCGCTCTCCTGTCTATTCTAAATATGTTTAGAAAATGTTATATGTATATATGTATATACCTAAAAGCGTAAGGGCTTGTGGCTAATAAAGAATGAATGAATCAATGATTAATACTATGACATCTTTTACAGAATATCTAAGATGCCTTGTACGTATATTTACATTTACTCTGCATCCTTCTACTGCAATGCATTGAGGAAGCAAAAGTTGTTATGAGACTATAATAACATTTGCTATTGTAACGTCATCAATCTCTATTGTGACGTCATCAGTTTCATTCTTGTCAAGACTTTATTTTCTGTTCAAAACAATTTTTATTTTACAACAAACGACCGATTTTAGAGAGAAAAAAATGTCAACAAAACCTTAAAAAGTCATCAATACAACCAGGGCAAATCGAGAACAAAAGAGAGATTTACATGGAGACCTTGAAATAGTACCATGTGTTCCGGATATCGCGATGTCACACAAACATGTAGCAAATTCCCCTCTGATATCACGATACCACACAAACATGTAGCATATACCACTCTCATATCACGATGCCACACAAACAAGTAGCATACACCACTCTGATATCACGATGCCTCACAAACATGTAGCATATTCCCCGCTGATATCACGATGCCACACAAGCATGTAGCATATTCCCCTCTGATATCACGATGCCACACAAACAAGTAGCATATACCACTCTGATATCACGATGCCACACAAACAAGTAGCATATACCCCTCTGATATTACGATGCCTCACAAACATGTAGCATATTCCCCTCTGATATCACGATGCCACACAAACATGTAGCATATTCCCCTCTGATATCACGATGCCACACAAACATGTAGCATATTCCCCTCTGATATCACGATGCCACACAAACATGTAGCATATTCCCCTCTGATATCACGATGCCACACAAACATGTAGCATATTCCCCTCTGATATCACGATGCCACACAAACATGTAGCATATTCCCCTCTGATATCACGATGCCACACAAACATGTAGCATATTCCCCTCTGATATCACGATGTCACACAAACATGTAGCATATTCCCCTCTGATATCACGATGTCACACAGACATGTAGCAAATTCCCCCTCTGATATCGCGATGTCACACACACATGTAGCAAATTCCCCCTCTGATATCGCGATGTCACACAGACATGTAGCAAATCCCCCCTCTGATATCGCGATGTCCCACAGACATGTAGCAAATTCCCCCTCTGATATCGCGACGGAGGACGTAAAACTTGTCCATAGCCTTCGCCGACCTGAATCTTTGGAAACCCTGTGTTATTTAGTAGACAGTTGAAAATAGCGAATAAACTATCAGTTGTGTCGTTTGCAGGGAGAAAAAAACCCCACATGGTTCGATATATACTACTGTTTTATTACCTAACACAATCAAACTTCGGACTAGACTGTTATAATATATATACTAAGGATCACTCTCTCTACTCCCTGCCCTCCCTGCCCTCCTCTCTTTTCTCCCTGCCCCCCCTCCCCTCTCTCTCTCTCTCTCTCTCTCTCTCTCTCTCTCTCTCTCTCTCTCTCTCTCTCTCTCTCTCTCTCTCTCTCTCTCTCTCTCTCTCTCTCTCTCTCTCTCTCTCTCTCTCTCTCTCTCTCTCTCTCTCTCTCTCTCTCTCTCTCTCTCTCTCTCTCTCTCTCTCTCTCTCTCTCTCTCTCTCTCTCTCTCTCTCTCTCTCTCTCTCTCTCTCTCTCTCTCTCTCTCTCTCTCTCTCTCTCTCTCTCTCTCTCTCTCTCTCTCTCTCTCTCTCTCTCTCTCTCTCTCTCTCTCTCTCTCTCTCTCTCTCTCTCTCTCTCTCTCTCTCTCTCTCTCTCTCTCTCTCTCTCTCTCTCTCTCTCTCTCTCTCAATCAATCAAAGACAATGTAAATATAAATATAATATGACATCTTGAACATTTGTACTAATATATTGTAGGGATAGGGCTTAATATCAGGTGATAAACTTGTGCCCAACTCCCACTGTATATAAATTACATTAAACATATTTCAACTAACTGTGTTTTACGGTAGGAACACTACAAACTAACGACCTCAAACTTAAGCGTATTATTGCTTTTTACGCATTGATGAATTTGCAATACAAAAATACATGATCTCCAATAGGCGCAATCGTAATTAAGTGCAATTTTTTTATTGCGAAAATCGCTCGAATAAATATACCGCTAAATATGTATGTTTTACCGTATTTTAAAATAGATCATATCAAAAGTAAAAAAACAACTAAATACAATTAAAGTAGCAACCTAAGCTCTGTTTACTTTCTGGAAGGAAATGTTTTTTTTAATGTTTATGATGAAAAGGAAGTTTATTTTAATTAAAAGGATTGACAAAGTGTTAAATATGGGTTTGCATTGCATTTGAGACAAATCTGTCATGCTCTTCAAGATTAAGGAGATTATAGAAAATGGCATGTCAACGTTTTCGTAACGTTTTCCTTTACTGCAAACTTACTTCAGGTAAATCGCGATCAAGAATGGTTAAAGGGAAGCAACTCAAATATATTAACGAAATCTTTTACTTAATGTTATTAATTATCTTTTGAGTAAAGAGCTTTAATTTTGAAGTTCAGCACTAGTGACAGCTGTCTAGATTTATAGATACATACCTGACAAAGACTGCAAAATGCATTTTTTGACAGGTTTGATCAATTTAAGTATTGTTTTCGTTTACAGAAAGTACCGACAGTACCCGATTGAGGTTTAATGGCATTTGACAACGGAAGTTAAGAATCACCCCCTGATATTTTACCCCAATATAAATTCGCCATTATCTATTAATTCTACTAAAACTATACATTTTTACAATGTTAAATATCTGTAGATTTCATCCAATAAGAAAATCTGTCAATAATTACACATTTAAATTACTCACATACACTGTATGTACCGTGGACACATTTTAGGTATGGGTTATAATCGTAAGAACCACTTGCTGATTGGCTGATTAAGTTGTGTGAGTTCTTTTAAGCGTGAAAACTGATATCAGACAAAGAAAGGGACGTGTTTGTTGTTATCTGCGTTTAACTCTGTCTTACAATAAACTTCTGAATACACCCCGCATCTGGATTCATCCAACATCTGGATACACACAAATTCTGGATACTTTCGACATCTTGATACACACGACATCTGGATATACACGACATCTGGATACACACCGTATCTGGATACACACGACATGTGAATACACGCGACATCTTGATACACACGACATCTTGATACACATGACATCTGTATACACACTACATCTGGATACACACGACATCTAGATACACACGACATCTGGATACATAAGACATATGGATACACACCAGATCTGGAGACACACGACATCTGGATGCACACCATATCTGGATACACTCAAAATCTGGATACACTAAACTTCTGGATACAAACGACATCCGTATACACACGACATGTGGATAAACCCCACATCTACATACACACATCTGGATAAACATGACATCTGGATACACACGACATCTGTATACACACGACATCTGGATAAACACGACATCTGGATACGCACGACATCTGGATACACACAACATGTGTATACACACGACATCTGGATACACACGACATCTGGATACACACGACATCTGGATACACACGGTATCTGTATACACACGACATCTGGATACACACGACATCTGGATACACACGACATATGGATACACACGACATCTGGATACACACAAATTCGGGATACTTTCGACAACTGCATACACACGACATCTGGATACCTACAAATTCGGGATACTTTCGACATTTGGATACACACGACTTCTGAATACACCCCGCATCTGGATTCACCTAACATCTGGATACACACAAATTCTTGGTACTTTCGACATTTGGATACACACGACATCTGGATACACTCAAAATCTGGATACACTAAACTTCTGGATACAAATGACATCCGTATACACACGACATGTGGATAAACCCCACATCTACATACACACATCTGGATACACACGGTATCTGTATACACACGACATCTGTATACACACGACATCTGGATACACACAACATATGTATACACACGACATCTGTATGCACACGACATCTGGATAACCACGACATCTGGATACACACGACATCTGGATACACACCAGATCTGGAGACACACGACATCTGGATGCACACCATATCTGGATACACTCAAAATCTGGATACACACGACATCTGGATACACACGACATCTGGATACACATGACATTCTGATACACACGACATCCGGATGCACCCAGTATCTGGATCATTTTTAGATATAAAAAGGAGTCGTCGCCAAGGCTATATAATCACCCCCTATATCTTAATTTCGTGTTTTTAAATATGAAACATCAAACTTACATTATGTGTTTATTCATATGACTTAACTGATACAGAGTGATACTGAACTACACTAATAGAGGTGAAAGAGGCCGACACACAACTATAATAGGCCGACACACAAATAAAACAATTATCCTGTGTAATAAGTAAAACATATAATGTCTGTACTTTATACTATATCTAATCATTAATGTTTATATTATCTACAGTAAATCAGAAATTTAAAAGTCCACGGCCATGACAAAGTCTCGGCTGCTACTATACAATATGTAAACATAACATTCACATGCTGTCAGCTGATCATTTCTGCAGATCGTCGGCAACTTATCTATTAAATCCCCATAATACACACTCATACCTGGCTAGATAGTATTGACATAATGTTATCTGGCCGGGTAGATAATAAAACACCCACCTTCTGGCCGAGTAAATGCTGTTATGGATTTACAAATTTTAACAGATCTACCAAGACGTTAACCTATAAGAGAAAACTTCTATAATTATGTGACATTTGATGGATGTGTATGTTAAAGTGTTGTTGTTCGTTGTCTGTGGACGATCTGACATTGTAAACAAGGTGAGTGACTATACGTGACTACAAATGTACTGTGGTTCCTTTACATACATTTATAGTCTACAACATAATTACCCCGACGGGTAAAAACCACAACCGCCAACCACTGGATTTTGTGAAAGAAAGATTCTAGTGGACACTCAGGATTTTGTGAATACTCAAGACTTTTATTCCTTATATGGAAATAAATATTTCCTTGTGATTTTTTTTATTAGTGTTAGATACAATGTAAACAGCTGTACAACAAACTGCTTCACTGTGAAATCAACTTACTATAGTAAAAAAAACTTCAAAGGTTTTGCATCATTTTATCAAAATGGCCACATCCCTTTTCAAAGCTCAGATTCCTTTTCGTATCAAAGGTCAATTCACCTGTACACACCACAAAGGGGGCCAACTGGACCTATACTGTGAAGAATGTCAAATTCCTGTTTGCATCAAGTGTGTATCTACTGTACATAAAAGTCACCCTTTGTGTGACCTTAGTGAAATTATTCATCAAACTAAACAGGATGTTCAAAGCTTTATAGACAAAACTGAGAAAGTTGACCTCGTACAAATCGACCAGTACATCACATCTACTGACAAACACTTAAAGGACAATACCAGCAACTTTGACAAACTTTCACACCATTTAAAGACACAAACCAACAAACTAAAAGAAGATTTGGACCAATTAACAGCACAGACTTTGTCTCTCTATCAACAAATGGAAGAGGACAATACCAAGCTACTACAGACTTACAAACAGGACCTAGAAGTGTACGACGCTAAGCTAAAAAAACAAGTGCAAGAATGTAAGATAGCACTTCAACGTGGCTCTGACATACAAATCTACGACACAGGGTGCGAGATTCAATCAGCATTAACTCTCCCTGCAGAACCTACTCTATGTACTGCCAGCTTCACACCTAACCAAAATCCTGAGGTTCACCTGAAACAAGCTTTGGGAGAAGTCAACACCTCCTGTCACTGCCAGGGTCAAGCTTCACCAGGTCATGATATGTCAGTTGGATCATCTACTGGACAAGGATCAACCTCTACACAACAAAACTCCACAGGAAGAAAGAAAGTGAAAAGTCCAGTATATAGACTGTTGCCTCAGACCAAGGTGTTGGGGAATTGGACGTCTCCATGTTACATCACTTCTGTATGTCCAACCATTGATGGTCAGGTGTGGACTAGTGCCTGTGACGATATCACCTTAAATCTTCTGGATAGGAAGGGCAAAGTAATACAGAAGATTAAACACAATACTGGGATCACAGAAATAAGTCTTTCACCCACAACCAACACACTGTGGGTCTGTGACTTGGACAACAACATCACAGAGCTCGTGTCAGGACGACTAGTACACAGATTCGGAACCAGGGAGGAACCACGGTGTATCTGTATCACAGCTAGTAACCATGTCATTGTGGGGATGAACAAAAAAATTTCGAAATTCACCACAGAAGGTACATTATTACATACTACATCAGCTGCAGGTACAGGGAAACCATTTGTGTGTACACCATACAGGATCTCAGAGTGTCCTGTCACTCATAATGTCGCAGTGGCTGATTTGGGTAATACACTTCATGGTGGTGAGGGGAAACCACGGGTTGTTGTCATAGACACAGATTTCAAGAAACTATTTGAATATGATGGTAAAGTCCCACATACATATCAACCAACATCACAGTCAGGAAGTAAACGATTTACCCCCTGGGGTGTGGTGTATGACAGTGTGGGTAACCTAGTCATAGGGGATTGTAGCAACAACCGTATCATACTCATCAATGGGTGTGGTGAGTTCCTCAGGATCATACACACATATGACTACTTTGCATTGGCTATTGGTGTAGACAGGGAGGATGTCCTGTGGGCAGTGTTGGGGTATCATGATATCAAACTACTACAGTACCAAAGTGCGCAGGACCAACAACAATGTATTATCTCGTAACTATGACAACTGAAACTGCATCATAAGATAATACAAAGCTGACTTAAACTTCAGCCCCGGATATATATCATTGACCTGCAGAATTAATCAGTTCAACAGATATTATATATCGGAAATGGTTAAAATTTGAAAAAAGCAAATCAATCGATTTCATAGAAATTCAATAACTATCTCATAAAAACAATAAACAAATAATGTTTAACAATAGTATTGAAGTTAATTGAAAAAACCCACCTTATATATATTATTTGACTTTTCCCCCTTAGATCACATTCTTAATTTAAAGTATGTTTTAGCTGGAATATTTATGAAAATAAAGTGCGTTCTCTTGAGAAAATGTTGAGTGTTTATTGTATTTTTCCTATTTCAAATATGGGTTTGGGTTATTATTTTAACCAGCTTGAAAGCCGCTTATCCCAGCATGTTTTATGTCTTCGGAGAGGTTGTTGTACCCCACTTTGGTTATTGGAGTAAGGTGGACAGTGAAAAACAATTTCTTTAAAAATATCCAAGTCTCATCTCTTTGAAGTGTATGACAATACGAAATTTCATATACAGAATGACTGTTTTATATCAATATCCAGCATTCCAACCTAGAAGAATGACTATTACAATTTCGGAAATTGTAGATATTTCGAAATAGCAGCCAAACTTCCTAAATACTTTTGCACATCTACATAACACAGTTTATTACCATGTAAAATATAAAAAAACATTTTTTAGTCACTTTGATTCTGAAATAATCCCCGAAATTGAAAGTGCTGATGGACAGCAAGACAGACGACAAACAGGCACCATTGCTATTGTAGGGCATCAGCATTTTAATGCGGATGCCTATAACTGGTGACACTCACGAGTCCAGTAGTTAAAGACCTACATGTACCATTAATTATACCAATTTGACAAATCTTATATAGGTTAATCACAAAACGAGTATCTAATGTTCAACTTCTTTTCACTGCTGTAAAACAATCCAACCAGTCCGTTAAGAAACACATTTATATGTATCGGTTTACTCTCCTATACAAGCCCTATAGTCAGAAATAGGACAGTAGACACTAGCTCAAAGATTCAAACTTAAAACGTTAATCTTTTCTACCAGATATATAACAACTAATTCTCTCTTATCAAACAGACCTAATCCACCCTCGTGTAAATAATAGAACAAATAACAAATACTTTAGATAAGATATGCAAGTTACTGTATTTCGTATTATATTTTATTATCATTACAAAAATAAATCAATACATAAAAAAACCTTAATTAGTATTGATTTAATTGCTAGAAGAGATTTTGCTTTCTTGTTCCAGTTATAACCGAGTCTAGGGCAAAAACAGACAATTTACTTAGTCACATACCAGACATTAAATACTATGGATTTAGAATGTTAATTACAGGAATCGATAACAAATTACATCTCGACTAATCAAAATTTACAATACTTTGCAACCAATAAAATATTAACCAATTACAAATCACGACAGTTCTGTGTGCCCTATCAATTTTCTGAAAAGCCCTTTACCATTTGAATAAAACCGATAATACTGTATACTGTAAAGAATACACCTATAAAAAACGTTATTTAGAAACTTATTCCAAAAAGGAATTGATTTAAATCTACTACAGTATACAAAATACGGATTTGTTTTGGATATGAACAGATGACGAAAACTTGTACTATTGGGTTAGTTCATTCAAGATGGCGGCAGTTTAACACTTCGAATGTTAACAAGTGCCATTTTACATAACAGGGCATCTATCCTTATTCTATGCATGACATATCTCATAGTAATATTAGAAAAAAATCCAAGTATTTGCACGTCATAGCACTCAATGTTGAGAGATGAACGTAACATACACATACTAGGTAACTTCACCTTTAACATTTATTAATATATACAGTATGCCAATAAGGAACTAGCTGTTGCTAGGGGCCAACAAGTTTGAAATTCAAATGCTCTTAACTACTGTTAAAACAGAGGGGCAGGTGCGTAAACCCCTTAATTTAATCAATTAGATTAGTACGGATTCATTTCAAATTGATGATCTGTAAAGCGTGAAATTTCTTTACCGTACCACAACTCAAAAGAGATAACTGTGGCCATTAAAGTAAACGCAAACCTCGGAGACTGCCATCAGCAAGTCGAGGGGTCGATTTCCCGATCGGACGTGAAAAGGTATGGGGTCACCTGTTCGACCACGTGGATTTTTTCCGGTACTCTGGTTTCCTCCCACAGTATGGCCCCGGGCGCTAACATCCAGGCCAACAACAGTGATTAGTATAAGTTGTAAAAACCTGTTTCATAATTGTTGTAATATAGCTCAAATTTATATAAGACCTTGTTTCTTGAAAGATGAACGTAACACACACAGAGGTGATTGCGCCTATACAGTTTGGAAACAGATAGAGCATGCCAATATGAATTACACTGCATCATTCAACTGTTTCGTCCTTTCAAGACCCATCGGTGATGCTAGATGTAACTGTGAGACGGTGACGTTATGCAAAAGCGTCAGTTGAAAAACTATTGAAACGTATGTCTATTACGAGTTGCCTCCCGTAGAACGATCAGCTTTGTACATTTTTAGTAATGTTGTAGGCATGTGCATTTCAGATTGTTTATGTTTTAGAATATCTTAATAGAAACCCCGTCGTTCGTAGCAAACAAGGAACCTATCTCAGCTTCTGTGAATATTATCATTTCTAAATATGAAAGACTTTAACCACAATTGGGATTATTTTTGAAAATGTGAACTTTTCTCACAGTATAACCATTTCTGAACTTGAGAAATCTTAGAAGCTTAGACAGACTATATCAACAAATATCAACTCTTCTCCTTTTTTTGTTGATGTTGTGTGACACAAAATGTCAAGTTCAGATTTGTGTTTCAGACACCAAAATTTTGAAGGTGCAATTACCTGTGTGTGTGTGTGTGTGTGTGTGTGTGTGTGTGTGTGTGTGTGTTACTGGTGTAGTAAGGGAAAGCTTGAATTAACAGGTTTGTTTTCTCTAGCTGGGCATTTTTATAAAACATGACAAATACTATAACTTCCATCACCAAGGACTTATTAAACGAGACACTCCTCCTACCCCAAGATGTATCAGCATTCCAACTGTGTTGATAGCAGGTGAAATAATGAAGTATATATGGACCAGACAAGTTTGATCACCATATGAAACTCTGTCAGCCAGGACAGTGTAACACCTATCATTTTTTACCCCTGCTGGGTTATTTGAAGATTTTAAGCGATTTTACTAATCTAGTGTTCAAAGTCGGTTGGTCAAGTAAAAAACAAGCGAAAACCGAAGTGTCAACAAAAACCACAGTTCGAACCAAAAATCGATAACATTAGGACAAATTATGGACAAAGGACAGATTTACATGGAGACATTGGACAAAGTACAAGGAGAAGGGACCAGCTGTTACAGAAGGGTAAGCGAGTTCTGCTTCGTCGGTGACACCGCCATGTAAATCCAAGTAATGACACCTCACAAGGCTCCTCACTCTAAAGAACATACTAAGAAAACATCGACCTTCATATCACTCTAAGAAATAGCATATTATTCCTTTTTGAGAACCAACACTTCATATCATTTTGCAACATTAATAACCAAATATCATGAAATTTATCCTCTTGGTTAATCAGAAAAAATGCTTGAAGATTCTTCATCTGAATAAACATGGTAGCTCAGTATATCACTAGCCAAACATCATTACCCTATGTTTCCCTCTTATAAAATAGTCATTCAAGTTGGTTAACACATTTGACCCTATGACCTTGAATTTAGGTGAAGGTAACTCATTTGAACAAATTTTATAGCCTTCCATCACAGCATGTTACTGGCTCAATTCCATTTCCATTGGCATTTTGCTTATTCTGGAAAAATGACCCTTTTGACATTTTAAGAGATTAAATGCCAATCATTTAAATCAACTTTGGTATCCTGCAGCTATTTATTTACTTAAGATAGAGAGGCATTTGAAATTGTCAGGTTTGAGATATCTCCAGAAGCCATAACTCAGTATAAAAAAAAATGTGTAGTGAATATGCATTTTATGTAAGTGTCCTCTAATTAGTTGTAGATGTCAACTCAACATATAAATTAGTAGGGAAATTATTGAAAAAAACAACACTTTTCATTTGAAAATTACCTAAAAGAACCGCCTGACTTAATCCTCTGTTTTATATAAACAATCTTTAAATGACAATTGAATTTCTTTCATTTTACCTTTAGGGGATTGCACGTTGTTTTGAGTGGCAAATATACCAGTATAGACACGAAAAACAACAAAATAAATATACAACATTTGATATAGCGCCCTATATAGCTAACATAAGTCACTCTAAAGCGCTTTACAGTACATAGATATACAATTGTATACAGTCAATACGATTAGCATATATATTAATCTATACAATATTGAAAAATGTGCAGGAGTGGCCTTATCAGGCGCTAACTACTAGTCATATGCCACCTAGCTAATATATCCCTATGTGTGTATGCATGTGTGTGTGTTGGAGATGTATTGTGTTATGTTTGTACTTAAATGCTACAGCACAGATACCGCAACACCCACCCAAGATCATTTTATACTCCATCTGGGTTGTTGGAGTTGTGTGGGCAGGAGAAAAACCACTTTCTCTGAATATTCCATGCGTACGGCGACTTCGGGGATCGAACACTGGCCGCCTGCTTGGAAGGCCTGAGTGTTAACCACTCGATCAATTAGCATACGACACATGTGACATTTTCCATTTGATTTCGGATCGAAATCGATGTCTTCACACGGACGGAACGAAAGTTTCAGTAATTAATGGAGGTAAAAACAAGGAATATTCACTTTTTATGTTTTATTTAATCAACAAATACATTTCATCAGTCCTTTTTGTTCTATTGCTAGCCTTATCAGCGCTAAGAGGCGAGCTTGACGCCATATTGTTTTTGTTAGAAACAGGGCGTGTCATAAGTGCGATGGGTGGAGCTCAACACGATTGATCATGATTCTATCGCAGATTTGAACATGGTCCGTAACTCATCAAATACGCGTTGCAAACTAATCGTGCTAAACTCTTTTATATAAACCTGTTTTATCTACTAATGTTTTCAAAATAGATTTTTTTTCTTTTTCTTGTTTTAGCTCATTTTGAAAACAGCAAATACTATTAATGATTTACCCTACCCCTTTTGGTATCCCAAAAACCCACTTTCGGTCAAACTTTTGCCTTATGTTTTGTGCGTGTATTACATCTT